ATAGTTTTTCTTTTTCAGTAGACAGTCAGTCTTAGCATAAGTAACCAGTTTAAAGCTAAAGTTGGAAAAAAAAATGACCGGTCGAATGCTACCGTTGTTGCTTGTTCTACCTACTTTTTTCTTTCGACAAAGCTAAACACCCTCCCACTGACAAATCCAGGCAGCAGGCTGTGCTTGGAGTTCACGCGATATCCGGTACTGCCTCCATGGCGTAAGTTTGCATAACGTCATGTCCGGACTCACTTGTGGAGTCACGTGTTTCCGTCCCTGTAGTGGAGCTCCTCCTGCAGCCAGATGCTCTTGCCTGGTGGAGATCTGCAGCCAGATGCTATTGGATGTGCGGACTGAAGATGGATACTATTGGATGATGAGGCATTATGACGATGAGACCGATTTTTGCGTCACAGTTGCTGACATTCTTATACGCGTAAGTTCCAAGATTTGTCGTCAGTTTTGCGCTGTATTTCTGCTGGTTGGTCGTGTATTCATTTAATGAAAAAAGCACTGTTCAGTTTAGAAATGGAGCTGAGAAGTCGCAAACGACCAGGTATGGCACAATAACTGTACTGTTTGTATGTGTACAAAACATAATTTTACATAGCATTAATGTACTATCCTAGCCATTTGTCAGTGTCGTGAGTGTAAATGTCATTAGTGTAGATACTTCTGTTACAAACTTTAAAAAAAAAAAACCTAATTGCTATGTATGTATAATAAAGGAAAACATGTGACTTCTTTTGAGAATTAGCTTGCTAAGAACTAATTTGCCAGTGCATTACTTTCTACAGTAACGTGTCGCAGGTGTCGCAGTAAAGTCATTTTCAAAATAAGTGGGTTATTGGTTTTAAAACGTGCAGAACAATGACAGAATACTTACATAATCAACTCTCTTTGTTGTATGTGTAAATTTTAGTCCCTCAACCTGAGTGTGAGGGGGCTGCCCCTGTGGATGGTCAGGAGGGAGGAAGGAAAAGACAGAGGAAGACGGAACCTCAGGGCCAACTACAGGGAGGTGGTGTCAAGGGGCGTAAGAATAAAACCACCAGGAGAAGGAAAAAAGTGCTACAGAAAACCAAAGCAGCACAAAGCGAAAATGAATCACCCCCGTCCAAGGATTTAAGTGATCCCTGCAGAGGTTTGCATCTAAACATAGGTTTCTTAGCTAGTAATCAGTAGTGAACAATGGAATACTCTGATTTTTTCCGTTGAACCCCTATGTATTTGCATATGAATGCATTAAATGCATTAAAAGCATTTTAAAGAGTAAAATCACTATTGGATTAATCCAAGATCCCAGACACATGAGCTTCTGCTAAGCAAATTAATGAAAGATTTCACATAATTAACTACTAAGCAGGTGAAAATCCAATGTACTATGTCTGCTCTGTGTTACAGCATCCTTAGAAGATCTCTACACTAAAGGGGAACTACTTGGAAAGGGAGGGTTTGGCACAGTGTATGCGGGGATAAGAAAGAGTGATGGGATGCTGGTATGTCACCAAATTTATCTTTGTTTACACTGAAGGTCCCCAACGACTATTTCATGTGCTTATTATAGGTGATGTACAGGAAAGCCATTTCACCATAAATTACTATGTTTCTTCCTTCCAGGTGGCCATCAAATACATCCCCAAGGAGAAATGTGCCAGGCAGCTAAGAATGGTAATTGCCATCATTTTGACCCTGAAGCACAAGGGTTCAAAACAAAAGGAGTATAATCATGCAATGGTGATGTGTTCTGCATTTTAATGGATGTATACTTCCTTGTTTGCAGCCTGGACAAGAGAAGCCACTCCCTGTGGAGGTGGCTTTGATGGTTCACTTAAACTCAGAGCCAACTTGTTCTTCCATTCTGAAGCTGATTGAATGGTTTGACTTGCCCAGCGAGTATGTGTTGGTGCTGGAAAGACCTGAGCCATGCATGGATCTCATGCAATACATCAGGAGCCAAGGGAACTTCCTTAGTGAGGAGGTGGCTCAGCATGTGCTCATGCAGCTGCTCAATGCCCTGAACCACTGCCAGAGCAAAGGCATTATTCATCGGGATATCAAGCCCAGTAATATCCTAATACATACTAAGACCCTACAAGTGAAGCTGTTGGACTTTGGCTGTGGGGATATTCTGAAGGACGATCCATACACTTATTTTGCAGGTCAGTGACACAGACCGCTGAAAAACCCATAAAATCATCCTTTTGTTTAGAACAACAGACAGTCCAATGTCAAGAAGCCAAATGTTCTGCCAGTTGTTTTCTAGATTAATTCCTAGAAGAGGTGCTTCTGTTGTTTCCTTAATCAAGATAGCTGACTTACTTCAGTAAAAATAACCACCTGCCTAAATGGAGCATCTGTCTAATTACAAAGACAATTACAGATGCACCTCTACTTATGAACTTTAGACTTACGAACTTTCAGACATACGAGCGAAGAGGACTTTAAGTCCAAATTGTGTTCGTTGGGCTCCCGTTTCCCGTCCGCAGCATTCATTTTTTTTTCTGCGCGCCAATTCCACCTAATACGACTTCTGGCCAATATTCCTACAGTGCAGCAGCGTAGCGTGCGTACTTCCAGCGACCTAGTTCTTTATACTTGCGTATACCCTTAAAATAATGTTGAAGAACGACTCACAAACATTTCAAGTTACGAACTGCCATTCGGAACGTAACTCCTTCATAAGTAGAGGAGCGTCTGTACTTGCTGGAAACCTAACAATGCCAGTTGATACTAGACAAACCAATCTCTACAGGGTATAAGAATGTTCATAATTGTTTTTTTACCTACGTCTTTTCTACTTGATCCAAGATTTTAGAGTAAGTCACCCACTTGTATTTGTGTTTCAGGAACAGCATTGTATTGCCCCCCAGAGGTTTTCCTGTTTAGAAAGTACTTGTCTAGCCCCTTCACAGTGTGGTCTGTGGGAGTGACGCTTTACAGGATGGTGTGTGGCACAATACCCTTCTGGAACTTTATGGAAGCCATCTGCAAACCTCTGGAAGTCCCAGCATCGGTGTCACCTGGTGAATGTCTGACGTTTTGCAATATTAATCTCAGATACCATGAGAAAGAAAACTCACCTAAGAGCAATGATGTTCTATTCTTGTTGTTTCAGACTTGCAGCATCTAATTCGTTGGTGCCTGACTCTTATCCCAGTAAACCGGCCAACGATAGATCAGATTATGCTTCATCCATGGCTACAGCAGTGCAGGCCAAAGGACTGAGGGTCAGTCTAATGAGCAGTTTTACTTTAGAAACTTGTTGTTGCTTAAAGCCAGGGGACTAGTCAGTACAATTGCTTAATTAAGTTTAATTAAAATTTGCATAAGTAATTGTCAATAAATGCTTTTATTTTCTGTATTCCCACAGTTTCAGGCCAACAAAGATTCAAGCTGCCTCTCCAATAAAATGACAGACTGAGGCACTGAATAATAAACAATAAAAGGCACTGAGGAAGATCAAGCCCCCGCAAGGCAGCAGGACCAGACAACAACCCTGGGCGGCCCTCAAAGCGTGTGCTAAGAAGCTGGCTGATGTTCTTACCGCAATCTTCAACCTTTTCCTCAGCCAGGAAAGGTTGATGCTGGCCCACATCCAGAGGAACATCCATCCTAGACACTCTGGCAACCTGCAGTATGCCTACCGGCCCAACAGGTCCACATCAGACCCCATTGCTGCTGCCCTTCACTATTCCCTCTCCCACCTGGAAAACAAGGACTCCTACATCAGGATGCTTTTTGTTGATTACAGCTCCGCCTTCAACATGGTCATCCCCCACAAACTCATCCACAAACTGACCACACTCAGCCTGCACCCCACCCTCTGTGACTGGCTCCTGGATTTATTTATTTTTTGTATTTTTTATTGAGCGTCAATACAATTTATAACGATGGTACAAAAAGATCCATGCCCATTTTCTTTTTCATTATTGCCCCCTATCTGTTGCAAGAATGTTGCCCCACTGGCCTTCATCCACCATAAACCCTAGGTCTCTTTCCCACAATTCTTTTGTTCGTTGGGGGAAAACCGCCCTGTCCATGGCTTTATAAATGAAAGAAATAATTCTTTTCTGACTGGGATCAGCTGTGCAAATAGTGTCTAGCAATGTTGGAGAGGGGAGATCTGGAAAGTGAGGAAACACTTTCTGAACAAAATGTCTAACTTGGAAAAAGCGAAAGAGATGTGTTGATGGTAGATGGAATTTAGTGGACAACTCGTTAAAGGACATGAACTTCTTATCATTGTACAAATCAGCAATAGTTTTTATTCCTCTGACAGACCAGAGCTGGAAGGCAGAGTCTGCAGTGGATGGCTTAAAGTTGCAATTATTGAGCACCGGGGCTAAGATAGAGGATCCCTGCAGGTCAAAGTGTTTTCTAAACTGAGCCCAGATCTTCAGTGATTGAATAACCATCGGATTAGTACTGGCTTCCGTGATACACAACGGTAGTTGTGAGCACAGCCATGACTGTAGTGAGAACTGGGTGGAAGACCTGGGGCATGTTCGAATCGCACATAATTTGTACATTAATAGAGTGAAAGTGCTTTCTATTTACATAAGCAAATTCGTTCTCTGAAGGTGCCTTTATAGCAATGTGTGTGCAGTCGATGGCTCCGATTACATTGGGAAAACCAGACATCGCTGCAAATTGTGCTTTAATGTTTGCCTGTTCAACCACAGTGTAAGAAAATTTTATATATCTGGGTGACAAGCGGATTATGCCGTCCCATACAGCTGGCATGGCGCAACTTGGTGTTGACTGAGAAATACCTGATCGATCAGCAAGTTCTCGCTGAAAAGCACCTGTAGCTAAGAACCTGAGAGTGGACAGAACTTGTAAAGGAACAAGTATGGTGCAATTCCTCATCATCTGCCTTTGTAATGCCAGCCCCAGTTCAGCACACAGCTCCAAAAGGATTGCTCTTGGAGATCTGAATCGACTTAGAAGCCAGTCATCATCATGGGCCAAGAAATCACTATGATCCATGAATACACGCTCTCTTCTAATTCTTCCATTATAATTCTTATAGTTCTCCATTTCGGGAGAACATTTTAAAACAAATTTGAGGAAGCACTTCTTTACACAGCGTGTAGTTAGAGTATGTAATAGTCTTCCTGCTAGTGTAGCGCAAGCTAAAACCCTGGGTTCCTTTAAATCAGAGCTAGATAAGATTTTAACAACTCTGAGCTATTAGTTAAGTTCTCCCCAAACGAGCTTGATGGGCCGAATGGCCCCCTCTCGTTTGTAAATTTTTTATGTTCTTATGTTCTATGTCTTCCAATAACGCAAGAGCTGCCATGGTAGTTTTAATACTTTGGTCATTTTTTGCACCATTTTATTGTTACAAATTGATTAAAAATCAGGTGCCATACATTTGTAAACAACATACAATTAATGTCGGTGTATTGGTTAAAGGTGATTTAAGTCATGATTGTGAGTATAAAAAGGGAAACCACAGTATCAATGATTTGCCACTGGGTGCCGTCTGGTTACAAAACCGAGCAGAAACGTGCGTACGCCATGTATGGAGCTGCCGTGAGAATGTGCGTAGCAGTACGCCAAGTTTAGTTTTTATACATCTCGAAGTGAGCGTGGAAACAGATGAACGCAACATTTTCGTGCGTANAAGTTCTCCCCAAACGAGCTTGATGGGCCGAATGGCCCCCTCTCGTTTGTAAATTTTTTATGTTCTTATGTTCTATGTCTTCCAATAACGCAAGACAAACAAATCATCCACTCACCACCCGCCCGCACCTATAATTTTCTCTGATATAGATATCCGCACCCGCTTCTTCGTTTTTAACAGCAGATTCAGTGACTTTAGAGCTAATCTGCGTATCTCTGATAGTAAAATAATACGCGTATCGTATGCTGCTTTAAATGAACATTTATTCATAAAACAAATTTTGCCTTTGGCCAGATTAACCAACATTTTCTGAATAAAATAAACAAGGCCTACTCCATTCAGACTTTAATGGGAATATCACCGTTTCTGTCGCTGCAACACATAAACACACAATGACTGGATAACGGCAAATTTATTAGCCCTATCTATTCAAATAATACAAAGAATTGAATAAAAAAGATTGAAGCCAATAGAACATGTATTTCAAAACGCTGTATGTAAATGCGGTCTCTCTCTAAAAATATCTTACTACATTATATTCACCCTTCATCACCAGTATTGGTAATGGTTTTTTTAAATAAAATATTTCATTAAAAAAAAAAAAAGTAGTGTAGTGTATAAAGCGTTTATGTGATGGGCGATTCGTGTGATGGGCGGAACAGTGTGAGATTTCATCACACTACTCAGAATGGCATTCAATTTAAAAGTTATTAATTATTCCTGGAATTTTCAATTTATTATTTTTGGACTGAGGGTAACTGAAACTGCAGAAAGCAAAGGAACGGATGAGGAAGGATGGGACCACTATGAATGTTTTCGACCTCTAAAACAGAAAACTTAAATTGAAGACTTTATATGACTTTTCAAGACCTTAATTGATTAAATTTAAGAAATCTTAAAACTTTTTAATACCTCACAGGTGCCCTGTATTGAGGAGAGAATTTACACTTTAGCCTTAGCTTAAAATTCTCTTTCCTTATGGTTATCAGTTCATCCACTGAGTTGGGCCTGGTTGTAGGAGTCATCTTAATTGCAATATCAGTGGCTACATGCACTTGCAGCATAAAATTCCAGGGTGTACATATTCAAATTTATTTTCTGGTATAATAATGTTTCTCAACATTGCAAATGTGTAAAAATCAGAAAACTAAAATATTATTTTAAACTATTTCTACTGGCTTTTCCAGTGAGTTTCCCATCACTGCGGGATTCAGAGTACAGTAGTACCCTTGTTAACTTCAATAAATATTCAAGGCTGGCTTCTCTCTTGAGTTTTGCAGTCTCATAGATAAGCAGGAGAAACACTGGTGCTGAACTGGGATTCTGACGATACCATTGTAGGTTATCCACTGTAATTACAGGACAGTGCCACATTTCCGCCCTGTATAATGTGTCAGTAAAAGAGGTAATGGAATCCTCAATACTGTGATATGTGGAAAGAAATATTTGGTTCAAGAAACAATTTCCATGGTCTTGGTCAGATTAATAACATATTTCTAAGGTCATTCGATATAATTTCAAGCACTTTACAGAGGGAAAATGTTCCGTTACTAATAAGTAATACAATAAATGTCATAATTGTTTTTAAAACCCAATTTAAGTAAAATAATAGTAGCACACCAAAAAACTATACACATGATTTCACCTACCCACAAGTGCTGAAGAGAGAAGAAATGAACAGAGTAACATCATGGCGGATGGAGAGAGACAGACTGAACTGAATACTCTGCTACCAAGGTTGGGTCTAACAGGAAACTCCTCTACTGCCCCAAAACAACACGCTTGTTCCACTGTGACACAGCTTGTTTCACCCTGACAGCCCTCCCTCTCTCTCTTTCTCTCTTAGAATTTTGTTATGCTTTATTGTTGTTTGAATGGAAAACATCAGGGTGATTCCTGTTTGAATGGTTTAGTCCTTAAACTCCATGATTCCAGCTTTATTATAAATCATCTTTGAGGAGTTTTTGGTTTAACCTTCAGCAACTAATATGAAGTGGAACAGAACTCATGGACTGTGATCTTGCCAGTGTTCAATGAGATACAATATCAAAACTACAATTGTATCAAAGATTTTTATAAGATTATTAATAAAATGTTATATATTAAGCACCAACTGCTTGCCAGATGGATCTTAAATTTTCTAACAGAGATTGAAACTGATTGAAATGTAGATTTAAAATAGATATTTTCTTATTGTTACAGTACTTGAACCAAATTTAGATTATCTTAAAACTTATTTAAAGACATAAAACGTGAAATAATCTGACGTGACAGAAAATATTCAGAATTTATCCTGTAATTACTGATTATTTCAAAAATATCTGAATGTTTCACTCATAAGCAAAATGGTAGATACATAGCTGAGACAGCAATCAACTCCACTGACTGATGTAACCACAATAACCACCTTTACCTCTGAACATCTGCTGCTCTCATCCCTGATTATAGGAAGCTACACTTTGATGCCCAATGAGAAGAACTTCTTGTCAGGTGGGTTTTTGTACAGCATTGCAGTAACTTTTGATCACTGTGCATCCATCAGAGCACAGTAGTAGATGGCTGTGTCTGCTATGGTAAGATTGGGAATGGTGAGCTGGGTGGAGTTCCTGGATGTCGTAGATTTAAATCGTTCATCTGGAATATCCTTTACCATACTGTATGACCTGGCACCTTTATGGAGTAGATACTGTGGTGCCTGATTAGAGTGCTGTTTGTACCAGTAAAGATAAATATTTTCACTGCTTGCTCTGTAGTTGCAGCTCAATGTCACAGATTCTCCATCATTACTGGAAACATGTTGTTTATCAGGACTGATGTCATCACCTGCAGTTAATCCTGAAAACAAAAAACATGAATAATAACAACACAAAAATAAACATAATGTTGAAATTAAATTTACCAACCATTTTCTGTATCATTATCACTGAAGCCTTTTAGGACGGTTACCTGTGGTGATGGTTATAATAACTAAGATAAATGACTTCTCCATGTAGCACAGAAATCAGCCCTACTGTTCACCCTGCTCTGTTGAGATTGAGTTGACTTGTTGATGTAATGAGATTAAACATGTCACATGACTTCCCTCACAGGTAGAAACCCCCACTATTGGCTGTCTGTACTGTTTGTTATGACACAGTGCTTCTAGCTTCTAGCACAATGTGTCACTACCGTTTCTCAGAGTATCTGTAGCTGAGTTCTTGTACCATCTGACACACACCCTGTGTCACTGTGGGCCTCACACAGGGGCGGATTAAGGTGTACAGAGGCCCCTAGGT